TACGTAAGTCGGAACAGGTACATTTTTAAGTAACTCCAGCAAAATATATAATAGCTTTGGATAGCATAGGGAAGGGTTAATACCCCTTGGTTTTTCTTTTGGTGTCTGTGCCCGTTCAGAAAATATCGCCTCACTTTCTGTCCCTATAATAACTGGATTTTGAAAAAAATGGCATGTTATGGAAACAATGATTGGTGATAAAGCTTCAGTAGAGATACCCTTTCCCCATGATCACTCTTCCAGGAGTGAATTTTCCTTCCGATGAATAGATTTCTCTCAATTCTTGTTGTCTCACCCCAGTTCTTAAATATGAGTCATCTGTAAGTCAGATGTTTGTAAGTATAATCATGATATAGGGTGCTCTCTACCATCCACACTTTCAGATATCCACAGAGATCTTAGAATGAACAGTATATCCCAGGGATACAAGGCTTTTACTGTATGTATGGAGAGAGTGGGGAGCCCCCGGTGGTGCAGTGGTTTAAAGCACTGAGCTGCTGAGCTTGTTGATCGAAAGGTCGCAGGTTCGATTCCGGGGAGCGGCGTGAGCTTCCGCTGTCAGCCCTAGCTTCTGCCAACCTAGCAGTTCGAAAACATGCAAATGTGAGTAGATCAATAGGTACCGCTCCGGCGGGAAGGTAACAGCGCTCCATGCAGTCATGCCGGCCACATGACCTTGGAGGTGTCTACGGACAACGCTGGCTCTTCGGCTTAGAAATGGAGATGAGCACCACACCCCAGAGTCAGACATGACTGGACTTAATGTCAGGGGACTACCTTTTACCTTTTATGGAGAGAGTGAACATGGTGTAATGGTTTGAGCACCACCATGTAACTCTTCCTGTGTCGAACCATATAGATTTTTTGGGGGGGTGTTAATATTACTAAGAAAATGTTATTCCTACCGTACTTATAATAGAACATAGTTACAAAATTAAAGACTATTTTCATATGCACATTATTAGTTAATAAAAGGAAATCAGTACAGTTTTATCCCTTTAGGAATTTTGATACAGTACCTGTACACTGGACTTATGAAAAGTGTTTTTGCAGTTATAAAAAATAACACATATGGCATCTGCTTTTTTTTTTTTTTGTCGTGTCAGGAGCGACTTGAGAAACTGCAAGTCGCTTCTGGTGTGAGAGAATTGGCCATCTGCAAGGACGTTGCCCAGGGGACGCCCGGAAGATTCGATGTTTTTATCATCCTTGTGGGAGGCTTCTCTCATGTCCCCGCTTGGGGAGCTGGAGCGGATAGAGGGAGCTCATCCACCTCTCCCTGGATTCGAACCTGCAACCTGTCGGTCTTCAGTCCTGCCGGCACAGGAGTTTAACCCACTGCACCACCGGGGGCTCCATGGCATCTGCTGAAATGTTGCAAAAAACCCTTTTATATACTATTATTTTGGTGTCATCAAGTGCAGTCTGCAACCTGTTAGTCAGGCTGTTGAGATCAATGAATCCTACCACCTCTGACAGCCCTTCCACACAGTCACATAACCCAGAATATCAAGGCAGAAAATTCCACAGTATTTGCTTTGAACTGGGTTATCTGAGTCCATACTGCCATATAATCCAGTTCAATGTGGATTTTATACAGCTGTGTGGGAAGGGCTTGAGTAATCCTTGCTGAAGGAGGGGGAAAACCTACAAAATCCATCACCAGATGACTTGAAAGCACGTGGGCTCACACACACACACACACCCGTGGAGCAATCTTTTGCTATAAAATGCCATTTTCCAAGCCTTCATCACCAGATAATTTGAAGGCACGTGCACCCACACACATACATCTGTGAAGCAATATAAAATGTCATATTCCAAGCCCCGTTCGAAAGTGGTTTGATACATTGTGATAGTTTTGATCTGTACATAATATTCTACTCCTAGGCAGCAATGTGCTGCCACCTATAACTATTTTTTTTCCAATTTTGTGGGAGGAGAGGTACTTTTTGGAAACAAACTCCACATTTATATCCTGAGTGTGTGCCTATATGTATGAGACAGCAATATTGCTTTTCAGGAGACCAACCATCAAAATATCTCAGGGTGCATCTACAGGCCCTTCCACAGAGAGAGAGAGAGAGAGAGAGAGAGCCTCCCCCAGCTGGAGGTATCTCCCACCTCCGCTCCCTCCTTTGTTTTTGTGCCTACCTTCAGGAAAGGAGGCATCTCCACCTCTCTCTCTCTCTCTCTTGGTCCCAATGGCTGAGGAGAAAGTCAGGAGAAGAGGTGACTTTTGGTGCACACGTCGGGGTCTTCAGGAACGCCTCCGGACCCAAAGCTGGCCAGGCAAGGGAGCGGCAAGTGTAGTTACTGAGATATATAGTTCACCTACAATCAAAGAGCATTCTGAACTCCACCAATGATGGAATTGAACCAAATATGGCACACAGAACTCCCATGACGAACAGAAAATATATATCAGTGATTGGTTGGGGGGGGGGGGCAAAATACTGTTTGCTTACCATTGAAAATTACCTAGGGCCGCCTCTGGGTGGTCCCTATGTAGACTTGTCCACAGCTGCATGGTATACGGTAGACTCCTGCAGAGGTGAGAGGATCCCTCTTGTCCTTTGCTGAAGGTAGCATTTGTTGGACTTTCTTGGTGGGTCTGTAGGTGGTTTGCAGGTCTTGGATTTGAAGGCCCTGATGAAGGAGACCAGACTTGTTGGAGGTGGTTGACAGGGGCGGAGCTGCAGGCTATTGAAGGTTGCTCTGCCCCCTGCTGTGTGCTTTGCTTCAGCGTGAGCTAAGAGGCAGGTTTCACCCCCCTCCCCGAAATTTTCAGAAACACCCCCCCCCCGAAATTTTCAACCCTCCCTGAATTTTTTTTCTGGCTACGGCTCTGGTAGTTTGTATGTTGTGTTTCCTCATCAGCTTCCCTACATTACCTTCTTTGAACTGAAATATATGGCAGTGTGGACTCAGATAACTCAGTTCAAAGCAGATTCTCTGCCTTGATATTTTGGGAGATATGGCTGTGTGGAAGGGCCCCTCGTCCACACTGCCATATAACCCAGTTGAAAGCAGGTAATGTGGGACTTGTGAGGGAGGAGCCTTTGGGAAATTCCGTCGGGGTGTATTGTCGAAGGCTTTCATGGCCGGAATCACAGGGTTGTTGTAGGTTTTTTTGGGCTGTATGGCCATGGTCTAGAGGCATTCTCTCCTGACGTTTCACCTGCATCTATGGCAAGCATCCTCAGAGGTAGTGAGGTCTGTTGGAACTAGGAACAAGGGTTTATATATCTGTGGAATGACCAGGGTGAGACAAAGGACTCTTGTCTGCTGGAGCTAGGCGTGAATGTTTCAACCAGCCACCTTGATTAGCATATAATGGCCTGACAGTGCCTGGAGTAAACTTTTGTTGAGAGGTGATTAGATGTCCTTGTTTGTTTCCTCTCTGTTGTTTTGCTGTTTTAATTTTAGAGTTTTTTAAATACTGGTAGACATTTTTGTTTCCTATGCAATTAGCTCATATATTGGATTGTTGTAGGTTTTTTCGGGCTGTATGGCCATGGTCTAGAGGCATTCTCTCCTGACGTTTCGCCTGCATCTATGGCAAGCATCCTCAGAGGTAGTGAGGTCTGTTGGAACTAGGAAAAGGGGTTTATATATCTGTGGATATGCAGATGACACCACTCTGATGGCCGAAAGCGAGGAGGAGCTGAGGAGCCTTCTAATCAAGGTGAAAGAAGAAAGCGCAAAAGCTGGGTTGCAGTTAAACCTCAAAAAAAACCCAAGATTATGGCTACAAGAATGATTGACAACTGGGAAATAGAGGGAGAAAACGTGGAGGCCGTGACAGACTTTGTATGTCTAGGTGCAAAGATGACTGCAGATGCAGACTGCGGCCAGGAAATCAGGAGACGCTTACTTCTTGGGAGGAGAGCAATGAGCCAGGGGGGGGGGGCTCGGGGGGCTTCAGCCCCCCCCCCGAAATTTTCATGGTGGTTCGCGAAAAGGCCTTATTGGTGCATTATTTAAACTGTTATGTTTATTCATATCATGATCTGATCACCATACTCAATATATCCCATATGCATGGGGGTATTGGGGTAATGATACAAAAGGTTTGCTAGGGTAGACCCTCTTTCACTCAGAATCAAAATCCTGGCTACGGGCCTGCAAGAGAACATAAAGACCATCCAGTCCAAACAACAAGTCAATCAAAATCACTTAAAACAGTTAAAACCATTAAGCTAGCCAACAAACCACTTCTCTAACAGTTCAAAAGTGAGAGGGATCCTGAAGTGAAAGGACCAGGCTTTAGGCAAAAGTTACTCCATAGTCTACGGATGTGAGAGCTGGACCTTAGGGAAGGCTGAGCGAAGGAAGATCGATGCTTTTGAGATGTGGTGTTGGAGGAAAGTTCTGAGAGTGCCTTGGACTGCGAGAAGATCCAACCAGTCCATCCTCCAGGAAATAAAGCCCGGCTTCTCATTGGAGGGAAGGATACTAGAGACAAAGTTGAAGTACTTTGGCCACATAATGAGAAGACAGGAAAGCTTAGAGAAGACAACGATGTTGGGGAAAATAGAAGAAAAAGGAAGAGGGGCCGACCAAGGGCAAGATGGATGGATGGCATCCTTGAAGTGACTGGCTTGACCTTGAAGGAGCTGGGGGTGGTGACGGCCGACAGGGAGCTCTGGCGTGGGCTGGTCCATGAGGTCACGAAGAGTCGGAGACGACTGAACGAATGAACAACAAATATCTGTGGAATGACCAGGGTGAGACAAAGGACTCTTGTCTGCTGGAGCTAGGTGTGAATGTTTCAACTGACCGTCGGGGTGTCCTCTCTCTCTCTCTCTCTCGCTCCCTTCCCTTCCCCTCTGGTGGCGGAAGAGAGAGGGGCGCGAGGACGCCTGCGCGCGGGAGGGAAAGGGGAGGAGGGGTGTGTGTGCGCGCGTGCGCACCCTCACCTGGCCGTCGAGGGGGCGCGCGCGGCTGAGGAGCAGCCCTTCCTCATTAGCGCCGGAGTCCCCGCCCCTGAGGGGAGGGGCTTATTCGCAGCTGGCCTCGCGCCCGCTTTTGCCGTCTGTGAGAGCGAGGGAAGCGGGCGAGCGCTTTCTCTCTCCCTCCCTGGGACTGGGGGAGCCACGCAAGCGGGGTCCCCTCTCCCCCTTGGCCTTTCACTCCGGCGCAGGTAGCCTTCGGGCTTCCCCGTCCGCCGGGTGAGTCATTGAGGCGTGTGGAGGGAGAGGCGGGAGACGGAAGCAGCAGGAGCAGCGCCGCCAACGCCGCCTCCCTCCCTCGAGTCAAAAGCCGCCCTCTACGGCCGTCGGCGGGCGAGAGAGCCCTATTCCTTTTTCCCTCCTCAATGGGGGCAGAGCCGGAGGTTCCCGACGGCCCCCGAAAGGCCCTCGCCACCTGAGAGATGCTGCCGGAGCCCACGGCGGAAAGGGCGAGGAAGAGGCGGCTTCAGCCCAGGAGCAGCAGCAGCAGCCATTGTCTGCCAAGGTAAAGGGACGGCGCGCGGCTTGGGGTTTTCGGGGGGGGGGGAGCGGCAAGCATCCCCGTTGCCTAGGAGACGGGAGGCTCGGGGGGGGAAAAAGGAGGAGGAGGAGGGAAGCCTTCAAAGTGCGGGTCCTGCGCGCGCACCCTCGCGACCACCCCGGCGCGCGCCCTGCCGAGCCTTCCTCGAGGCGCTCGGCGTGGAAGTCTCCAGTCGGGGAGTTCTCTCTCTCTCTCTTTCTCCCTCGTGGCTCTTGTTGGCGTGGAGGTCGACCTTTTTTTTTATTTCCTCCATCCCTCGCTGTCCTTTCTCTTCTGTTTCGGCTTCATCAGACGAATCGGGTTGAAACACCACCACCCCCCCCCCCCATATTGGGAAAACAGGCTTATGTAAGCCTTATATGGACATGAACGAAATGCAGAAGGAGGGCGAGACAAATCCAGACCAGAAAAATTGACGTTTCTTCAGACCCATGTGGTCTCACCCATCTCTGATTCTAGGGCCCTTTTCACGCAGCTGAAATAAAAATCCCACGTCTTCAGCTTTGAACTGGGATATTTATTTATTTATTTACTAGCCGTCCCCTGCCACGCGTTGCTGTGGCCCACTTTGGTGGTCATGGGGGTTCTGTGTGGGAGGTTTGGCCCAATTCTATCGTTGGTGGGGTTCAGAATGCTCTGTGATTCTAGGTGAACTATAAATCCCAGGAACTGCAACTCCCAAATGTCAAGATTCTATTTTCCCCAAACTCCACCAGTGTTCACATTTGGGCATATTGAGTTTTCGTGTAGAGTTTGGTCCGGATCCATCATTGTGTCCACAGTGTTCTCTGGATGTAGGTGAGCTACAACTCCCAAACTCAACATCAATGCCCACCAAACCCTTCTAGTGTTTTCTGTTGGTCATGGGAGTCCTGTGTGCCAAGTTTGAGTCAATTCCATCATTGGTGGGGTTCAGAATGAGTATTCGAGTCAAGTTTGGTCCAGATCCATCAGTGCTCTCTGGATGTAGGGGAACTACAACTCCCAAACTCAACATCAATGACCACCAAACCCTTCTAGTGTTTTCTGTTGCTCATGGGAGTCCTGTGTGCCAAGTTTGAGTCAATTCCATCATTGGTGGGGTTCAGAATGAGTATTCGAGTCAAGTTTGGTCCAGATCCATCAGTGCTCTCTGGATGTAGGGGAACTACAACTCCCAAACTCAACATCAATGCCCACCAAACCCTTCTAGTGTTTTCTGTTGCTCATGGGAGTCCTGTGTGCCAAGTTTGGCCCAATTCCATCATTGGTTGGGTTCAGAATGCTCTTTGATTGTAAGTGAACTATAAATCCCAGCAACTACAACTCCCAAATGACAAAATCAATTTTTTTGAGTGAAGGACATACATTGGGTTGTTAGGTGTCTTGTGTCCAAATTTGGTGTCAATTCGTACAGTGGTTTTTGAGTTCTGTTAATCCCACAAACGAACATTACATTTTTATTTACATAGATTTACAGTATTTGTATATGGCAGTTTGGAGTCAGATAACTTAGGGCCCTTCCACACAGCCCTATATCCCAGAATATCAAGGCAGAAAATCCCACATTATCTGAGTGTGGACTCGGATAACCCAGTTCAAAGAAGATATTTGTGGGATTTTCTACCTTGATATTTTGGGATATAGGGCTGTGTGGAAGGGCCCTATGATTCCAGATGCCCGTCCAAAAAGGGCCTTGACGCCCAGCTTCCGGGTGTAAAGAAGCACATGCTTCCCCCAGTTGTCTTGGGGAAAACTTGCAACACAGGAAGAGCCTCATGCCTAGGGGCCCTTCCACACAGCCATATCACCCAGAATGTCAAGGCAGATAAGCCACAAGGTCTGCTTTGAACTGGGTTATCTTGAGTCCACAGTGCCATAAAGTCCAGTTCAATGTGAGTTTTATACAGCACTGTGAAAGGATTATCTCTGTCCACACTGACATATAATCCAGTTCAATGTGGATTTTATACAGCTGTGAGGAAGGGGCTGAAGTGAGAACAACACTGGGGCGTTCTTATCTCTTGAAGACTTAGGCTCTTCGTTGCCACATTTATTTTCATCCATTTATTCCTCATTAGGAGAGGCGGGTAACAAATAACATTTATTATTATTATCAATATTGGAGCCCCTGCTGGCGCAATGGGTTACAGTGGTTCTCAACCTGTGGGTCCCCAGATGTTTTGGCCTTCAACTCCCAGAAATCCCAACAGTTGGTAAACTGGCTGGGATTTATGGGAGTTGTAGGCCAAAACACCTGGGGATCCACAGGTTGAGAACCACTGGATTAAACCCTTGTGCTGGCAGTACTGCTGACCAAAAGGGGAGAGTGGGTTGAGCTCCCTCTCAGCTCCAGCTACCCATTTGGGGACATGAGGGAAGCCTCTCGCAAGGATGGTAAAACATCAAAATATCCGGGCATCCCCTTGCAGATGACCAATTCTCTCATGAGAAGCAACTTGCAGTTTCTCAAATCGCTTTTGATACCAAAAAATTATAATTATTTAAGAAGTAGAATGCAGAACTTGTTGCCAGTTTTCCACAAAGGTTCTGACCTTTCCTTGTATGGGACAGGAAATACTCCCGTATATTTTGGGTTGTTTGTAGAAACACTAACAAAAGTGAGTTACAGCCTTATAATAGTTTCAATGTTTTTTTAAAGAAATGTGCCACTTTCCTCCGTACATGCTCTCAGGGTAAAGATTGCAAGGCAGGGTGGATCCTTGCAAAAAGCTTCCCAAAATAGAATGGCTGCCTAGAGTTTGCTGTTTTTCTAAACCAACTCCTGTCCATAATTAAGCCCACTCTTTGTAAAGTGTAAGATCGATTGTTTTTTACTCAAATCCCTCCTGCCATTTAGATACTATAATTTGCTTTACAAGAGGCTGCTTGGAAGGCACTATTTGGCTAGAATGTGCATTTCCACAGGATCATGACTAACTGACCCCTTTTAGAAGTTGTTTTTCGAGCAGAGAGAACTTCCTATAGACATAAGTATTGTCCCATGTAAATCCGCATTATATACCTTGCTTTAAATGCAGATACTCTGCAACCCAGAATACATTAGTCATTGAACAAAAATGTTTAGTAAGAGTTACTTAATCCCCCCTTCCCCTTAGACTGACCTCCAAATAATAGTCCACAGAGAATTTGTTCAATGATTAACTCTATGGATTCAGCTGAATAACAGAATCTAACTCAGTAAGAATGGACTAGCAAGATCCTTTCCACAAATAAAGGGGATCCTTGAGACTTTTATTTTCGTGATCATCAAGTCCCTTACCAGTGATCAGTAACAAGTATGTTATAATCGATTTTATGAAAGGTTTTTGTTCTGTATTTAACACATTCGCCTTTAACCTTTAGACATGGTTAATTAACTGTGGTCTTTTTAACCCGTGAACTCCACAGCAGTTGGGAATATATCCCATGTCCAGGATGTGACATCAATATTACATTGGTTGACATTTAATTTTCATACTCTGAAATATGTAGAATCGAGCCTTTGCATCTCTGTAATAACGTAAATGTTGTAGATGGTATGTTATGATGCATCTGATAGTTCAAGGCGCTGAAAACATAGAATTGAGTGATGTGGGACCACAATATCTGAAGTTCTAGCTTGTCATAGAATTGGAAGAGACCACAAGGGTCATCCAGTCAAACCCCATTTTGCCATGCTGCAGCACACAAAGCTCTCCTAGAAGATAGATATCCAGACTTTGTTTAAAAACCTCCAGAGGTGACTGCTCACACATTGAGGCAGCATGCTCTTACCACCAGGAAGTTCTTTCTAATGTTTAGATGAGATTTCTTTTCCTGTCGTTTGAATCCATTGCGCCATGCCTTTGTCACAGGAGCAGCAGAAAGCAAGCATGCTTTATCTTTAACATGACATTCTTTCAAATATTTAAGCATGACTCTCATGCCACTCTTAACCGTCTCTTCTCCAAACTAAACATACTTGTCTTTTTTAAGGCATTCCTCCTAAGGCTTGGCTTCCAGACCTCTAATCATTTTAGTCACCCTTTCCCAAACACTAGCTGGTTCATATCCTTCATGAACTGCGGTGCCCAGAATTGATACAGTGTTCCAGGTGAGAGTTGACTGGATTTGAACTGGATTATTTGAGTCCACACTGCCATATAATCCAATCCGATGTGAATTTTATACAGCTGTGTGGAACGGGCCTATGACTTATCTCGATATAGACACGACTACTATAAATGCAATCTAGAATCACAATGGCTTTTATTACCTGCCACGTTACATTATGTTCAACTCCTAAATGCCTTTTATATGGACTATAAAGCCATCCTATGTCTGTGCATTTCATTTTGAATTCTGATCCTGTTCTCTGGGGGAATTAGCTACCTCTCCTAATTTGGTACCTGATCAACATGGCCTTTTATTCCATATAAGCCATTTATAGATGTTTAAATAACACTGGATCCAATGATCCTGATGGTAAGAGCTGTTTGGCAGTGGAATAGACTTCCTCAAGAGTCAGGTGAAGTATCCTCTGGAGCAGTGGTTCTCAACCTGTGGGTCCCCAGGTGTTTTGGCCTTCAACTCCCAGAAATCCTAACAGCTGGTAAACTGGCTGGGATTTCTGGGATTTGTAGGCCAAAAACATCTGGGGACCCCAGGTTGAGAACCACTGCTCTGGAGGTTTTTAAGCAGAAGCTGGATGGCCATCTGTCAGGGATGCTTTGGATGGCCCTTGTGATACCTCCAGCTCAATGATCCTATGACAGAAGCCTGTGACACCCCTCCCTCTCCAGGATGAAGGAAGCCAATGGTGAACACCCATGTCTTTTGTGAACATTTTGTGGGAGTTTGCATTAAATACCTGAATCTCTGTTAAAGGTTCACCCTTTAGAGCAGGGATCATCAAACTTTTTAAGCAGAGGCCTCAGACCCTTTGGGGTGGGGGGTGGAATATAGTTTGGAAAAAAATGAACAAATTCCTATGCACTTGGCAT